TACACTCCCACCAGCGATGTATGTGAGTACTTGTTCCCCACAGCCTCACCAGAAGAATGTGGTCCCCCCCACCCCCACCCGTCTGGTGGGTGAGAAATGGTATGTCAGTGTTCTTTTAGTCCATCTGGGCTTTTGTAACAAAATACTACACATCAGTGGCTTATACACAATAGTAATTTATTTCTCACAGTTCTTGAGGCTGCAAGTCCAACATCATGGTGCCGGTAAGGTGGTGTTGTGGTGAAGGCCCTCTGCTGGGCTGCAGACTGCCGACTTCCTGCTGTGTCCCCACAGGGTGGAAGAGGCATGGGGAGCTCTGTGGGGTCCCTTTCACAACAGCACTGAATCCATTCATGAGGTTCTGCCCTCACGGCCCAATCTTCCCCTCCTTCAGGTCCAGCTCCTAATAGCATGGCCTTGGACATTCAGCTTTCAACATATGAATGAGGGGGGACTACAAATATTCAGACCATAGCATTTGCTTTTTTCTGAGTGAATGTACTTTTCACATGTTTAAGGGTCATTTTTGTATCTTTTTTTGTAAATTGTCTTTCACATCTTTCTCTCTTTTTTTTTTTTTTTCTATTTGGTTTTTGGTCCTTTGTCCTTCATTTTTAAAGAATTCTTCATGGATATTTAGGAATATTAGCCCATTGTCTGTTACATAGGTTGCATTTTTTTCTCCCAGTTTATTGATTGTCTTTTGACTTTGTTCATGCTGGGTTTTATCACAAAATTTAAAAAATTTTTTACTTAGCCAGAATGACTGACATTTGGTTGCCCCTGGACTTTGAATCATCGTTAGGAAGCTTTCCCTACATCAAGGTTTTGGAGAAGAATTCATCCACATTTTCTTCTGGTACTTGAATGGTTCCAACTTGTACATTTAGCTCCCTAACCCCTTGGAGTTTATATGGCATTAAAATACGGATATCTTTTTCCAAATGGTCACCTCAGCCACCATTTTTGTTAAAAAGTCCATCTTTACCCCAATGATTTGAGATGGCATCTTTATCAGGTAAATTTCCATATGTACTTAGGTCTATTTCTGGACTATTTTATTCCACTGCTCTACTTATCTATTCATGCATCAATACCACACTGTTTCAATGATACAGGTTTTACAGTGTGTTTTACTGTCTAGTAAGGCTAGTCCTTCATCGGAGTTCTTCTCTTCCCAGTGGTTTCCTGGTTATTCCTGAATGTGTGTGTGTGTTTTTTTTTTTTTAATATATTTTTATTATTTCTAGGAGAGAGAGAGAGAGACAGCGTGAGCAGGGGAGGGTCAGAGAGAGAGGGAGTGACAGACTCTGAAACAGGCTCCAGACTCTGAGCTGGCAGTCAGCACAGAGACCGACGTGGGGCTCAAACCCACGAACCGCGAGATCATGACCTAAGCGAAAGTCGGACGCTTAACCGACTAAGCCAGCCAGGCGCCCCTGAATGTGTGTGTTTCTATATAAACTTTAATGTGTATAATTCCATAAAATAGACCGTGGTGTTTCTATTGAGACAGCAGATAGCATTAAAGCTGTAATTGAATTTAGGGAGAACAGACATCTTATGTTGAGTCCCCCTATCCAAGAATGGGAGGTCTTCACATTTGTTCAAGTCTTATTTGAGGTCTTTGAGGAGTGCTTTAGCACTTACATGTTTTCGTATCTATCTTGTTAAGCACAGTATTTAATCTTGTTACCATTGTAAATGGGATTTTTACTACCATTATGACCTATTTATTGTTTGCATATGCTAATGTTATATCCTGCTACTTCACTAAAATTCTATAGTTGGTGTTGGTTTTATCAGTGATTCTTTGGCATTAAATCTCTACCCCAACAGAAGGGAGTGCTGAGGCTGCCGGTGCCCTCCTGCCTCAGTGTGGGTCTTCTTGGGGATTATTTCAGGAGGTGGAGTAGCTATGAGGACTAAACTACATGCTTCGTGAGTGGAGGGAGGTGTCTGTCCTGGCCAGCAGTGTGCACCTGTCAGCCAGCACAGGGCCTGGCATACAGCTGATGCAGGGGGAGTACTGTCACAAGATAGGGAGAGAACAGAGGCCTGCTGACAGATTGCCTGGGAAGAGATTGCAAAGATGCTGAAATACTATTTCCTCCATAGTCCTGATAAATATTTCCCCCTCCAGGAAGGTGCAAGAAAGTCTGGTCTCCTCTCCAGCCAGCTAGAGAGGTGGAAAGGGTTTGAAGAGTAAGGAATAGACTGGCACAGCTCCAGACCCTCTGTGTCCATCACTCATTTAACTTACCCCCTTTGTAGTCTGTGCAGCCTCTCTCCTCATGAGGGAGAACACAGAACCCCAATTTCCAAGGGAGGAAGAAATAGGACCAGAGAAGCAACCTGCCCAAGGTCTTGCAGCTAATAACCAGGGAAACTGGGATCCCAGCCCATATTCTGACCCCAAAGCCCAAGTCCCATCCACAAAGCCAAGTGGATCCCAAAAGTTAAGATTCACTTAACATTTAACAGCTGGTCGCTGTTCGTTTTTCTGGTCATTTCCCAAGATGAGCCTGGTGCTGTCGACATCTACCCATCCCTGGCAACAAATAAATCTGCTCTGTGCATCAGGGAAAGGGTGAGTGAGAGGTCACCTAAGCCCATGGAGAAAGAGGTCTGCCAAGAAGTAAGAATACCATCAGTTTATTGTGTAAGGAACTCCAGAGCCTTGTTGGTACGAGAAGCGGCGTCCCTTCTCACGGCCTGAGGAACAGCTGTGTCTCTCCCTACCCTCCCTCTCACGCCTCAGGATTCCAGGCGCAGATCAGAGTCCCATGAGAAACAAGCATTTATAAAAAGAAAAGAAAGGCCAGTTGCTTGCCCCGTACTCCATTATTCTAGAAAGGCCATGAGACACTTTTCAGAGGTAAAGTCCCGAAAGTCGGCCTCAACCAGGCTTGTGACCTGTGCCTACTGAACAGATCAGGCAAGGTGGTCCCAATTAACTGGTGAGAGCGGGTACCCATGCCGCTCTGACGGAAAGTGCCAGTCACTACAGCTGCTGCCATTACTCGGCCAATGATCTGCATTCCAGCCAGGTTTCCAGGAAACATCAGATGAACTAACATTTACGGGACACTTACTGTATACCAGGGGCTGGTCTGACCCCTTCCATATATATGCCAGGTCAGTTACCCTTACAGCCCTGAGAAATGAGCAATGCTCCCATTTGGCAGATAAGATAACCAACATTCACAAGACATTCAACAACCAACAAAGAGCCAAGTTTTCTTGGAACTCTGGGATGTCCAATCCTAGAAACTTAAACCAAGGGAGATAGCTCTCAAAGGGTGGTCCCTGGACTCATCGTCCCTGGGAATGGTGTTAGAAAACAGATTCTCGGGCCCACCCCAGAACTGGATTCCACTCAGCTGGAAACTCTGCAGGTGGACCTAGTAATCCATGTTTTAACATGCCCTCCAGGGGATTCAGATGCCCTGAAGCTGGGAACCAGTAGCTAAGATCCCCAAAGGCAAAAAAGCCAAGAGTCAGCAGTAGCTGCAGAGTCCCTAAAACAGTGCTTTTCCCAATGCGTGTCCCACGGAACATTAGCACTTCTGGAGATCCCTGGCTTAAGTAAGGGTGAAAAGGTGTTTTTATCGCAGGACTTCTTCAGTTTATCTAATGTAGCTTGTGCATCTTAGAGAAAGTACCCAGGTGGGTCTTCCCAAATTTCATGAACTACAGAACCCTCTTTTCTCAGAACACCTGATACTCTCTCCAGAAAACCTGTGATCCATGGACCCCAGCCGTGAAGAGGAAAAAGCCAAGAAATGCAGAAATTCAGGAAGACAGCAGCAAACAAGGATTCCACAAGACTGGCTCTCTTAGTGTCTGTTTAATGACAGCCTCTGGCAAGCTCACTATCTTATGTAAACTAAAGGAACAAGGAGTTCACTCCGCCTTCTTAGAGGAGCTGCGGGGTTGGGGTTATTAGGAAAAGAAAGCCCTGTGCCGGTGACCCTGGGGCCCTGGGTGAGTAATCCACCACCAAAGCTTAGAGGCACCAGGCGGGATATTATTATTATTAGAGTTTCAACAATGGATGGCTGACATTTCCAAGAGCTCGTCAATTACTTTAATAACTGTAATTCTTCTGGGTGGAGAGGCCACAGGGATGAGTATTACTCATTCTACAGATACTTAAGCATTTGATGTGAGCTCCCCCATCCGGCCCCAGGGCTCTAAACAAGATGGCACAGATTCAACAGCACCCAAGGCTAGGCAGGTTCTGGAAACATCTTCTACCTTTTCTAAAGAGTTGTACATACTTCAAGCCCTCCCCAGGTCTGATGGCGGGGGTCTGGGGGAGTCCCAGTTAAAGGTCTCTGACTGACGCATTTCACAGGCGAGGACAGGGACACTTATCTAGGTGGGTGACTCAGGTGGAAATGAAAGAGGACAGGAAGAGAAACAAAAAGTGACATTCTTTCCCAGGGCCCACCGTTTAGGGAGGGCCTCCTGAGAGCCAAGCTGTGGGAGTGCATTGCACCGGTGGCCTCTGCCCTCTCCTAGCTATGCCCAGCACAGGAGGCAGGTTGAGCTGAGGACACTGCGGTCCCTGACAGTGAGGGTAAGATGATGTGAGGGACAAAGGAGGGAGAGGTGGGGTCAGGGGTGCCACAGCACTGACATCCCATCTGTGGCCCAGCCTGTGGGTCCTGGCTTCCCTCCTAACCTCTAAGGCCTCTAGCAAAATCCTGTTAGAACCTTCTGGCATATCTTAGTTGTGCCTTGCAAAGGTCCTCATCCACATTAGAATTAAAGTGTGACTGGGGGACAGACAATATGTCCTGATGCCATCATTAGCCAGAGTAGGAGCTCTGGCACCATCCTGGACAGGGAAGTCCCTGGAGGAAGGAAGCCACAAACCAGGAAGTTGAACTGGGAAGAGAAACCCAGAGAGAGAGCCGGGGACCCAATGGCCTCGGAGCCACCACACCAGCCCTGGATCACCCACGTCCGTCCTTTTATGTGAAACAGAAATACACTTCTCATTTTCTTTTAATCACCAGGTACATGAACAAATTTTGAATTATTCTAATTATGCATTTTGCATATAAAATTAAAAAGCTTAAGTATAAATTAGAATTATTTCACTAAACATGCTGAGTACAAGAAGGTGTATATGCTATTCAAGATTTTCTTTTAAGTACCACAAGTCAAAGCAGCTGAGGCAACTCTGGGGTGTACTCATGAATCGCCCTACAGAACCCCACCTAAGGGTAAGAATGGGGCAACATCAATAAATCTGGAATGTCACTGCCCTGGCTTGCCCATTAGCAATTCAAGGAGCCAGCCCCTGCCATGCTCCTCTGAGCCATTCCTGGGAGTCCCTGGGGGGCATCTTCCTCTGCTCTAAAAACTAGGTCTCGTGCCTACCATGTACCATCTGCCCTTCTCCTGCCCTGCTCCGTGACCCGTGATGTCTCCAGCCCTGCCTGCCACATAGGGAAGGCAACCCTCGTATGTGCAAGCTGGGCACCAGCCATTTTGTGTGATACACATGGGCTGAGAGATTTCTATCACCCGCACTGGCCGCAGCAGGTACGCAGCATCCTCTCCATCATGCCCGAGCAAGATGATGGCGAGCTCTTTTGGACCCAAACATCCCACATAAGGAAAGACAGGGTTTAGAAAATGAAAACATATTACCCTATGGGCAAAAGGATGCTGCAGGGAGCTAAAATCACTGGCTGAGAACCACTCCAAAATTAACCTCAGGTTTTCAGTGAAGGATTTATTGAGATCTACCACAGAGCAAGGCTTATTTTTTAAAATCACATTTCCTCCAAAACAGATGCTCAAATTGAGCTGTGGGGAAAATACTAGACTGTTCATCTACAATTTCCCAAAGACTGCCCTGGCTCATCAAGATCCCCAGCAGCATAGGCTCTTGCCTCCCCTGGGCGTCTAGTCAGGCACTGACGTTTGGGCTGAGAGACACGGCCCCACGGGGCTGCCCCTCATTCTGCCCGCATAGCCCAAGATTGGTCCAGGAGTCCCAGCCTTGCCCCCTTAATGCTCCCTCTGGGACTGGCGCACCAGAGCACCTTAGCGCCCGTGGAGTCAGAAAGCGGCATGCACAGGCGCCACACTCCCGCAGAGGCTGGGACGAGGCTTTCCAACCTTCGTTTACACCAACTGCTGCTCAGGAGAGCTGTGGCCGTTTCTCCAAAGCTCACAACTGACCCTTCTCCATGTTGACAACAGTATTCTTCTCTCCACCCACTTCCAAAATATCCAGAGTACCAGTGCTCCAAGAGCCTTTGCTTGCAAGCCCTGACCTTCCTGTCCACACTGTCTCCTAAGAGAATGTTCTTTCTCTCTTACTTCCCACTGGACTCAAGAGACAGCTATGGCTTTGATGTCCTGTTGCAGCTGAGAGAAGCTAAGATATTTTCTGAACCAATAAAGATGAGTTCATGCTCTACGGTTCGAGGTGTTCCCTTCATGAAAAAAACATTTCAAAAAGACTTAAGGCCACTTGGGTCTCTCACACAGGCTACAGACTCTCAGTAATTCCAAGGACAAAGCTCTTCACGCAAGGCCATCAGACCAAGGGAGCCTCAGAAGCCAGGGCACTGGTGGCCGCTTGCCCCAGCCTGGCACCAGGCAAAGCACCCAGGCAGCAAAAGCCATTTCCCTGACATGGAATTGGTAGCAGCTCAGGACAGGCCTTTGTCACCAAGGAGACCACGCACCATGCAGAACCAAAGCATGATTCTCCCAAGGACATGGAAGTCCAGGTGACGAGGTGGTAAATGCCGTGACAGTCTCATGCCGGGAAACCACCGGACACTGGGCTCAAGCCAAACACAGCACAATTTTGTGAAGGTCTAGGAATGCCTACTGTCCTCGAGAACTGCTAAATAATGCAAAAATGAGGATGCTGGCTCCACGCACTGGTGGCTCTCCCCACATGGACGTGAGATCTCTAGCAGGGGAAGACAGGCTCTCAGGATGAGAGGCAGAGAATGTTTCAGTCGTCAAAAGTCTGAAGTGTGCCAACTCCACTGTCACTGGCTGTGTGACTCTGGGGAGCCCCATAGCCTCTCTGAGCTTCAACTTCCTCTCTGGGAGGTAAGGGCCACTGCCTCAACCTCCTGGGTGGCGGGAAGGATTAGACACCCCAAATCCATCAGGAGGCTCTTCCCATAATCAGAGGGGACCCAGCAGTGGGAAACCATGAAGAGAGGCACCGGGGGAATGTAAGGCTACGAACACCAAAGAGCATGACAAACCCACTGGTCCCATTTGTCATTTACCTGCAAGGACCCAGAGACCCAGGATGAAGACCCTAGCAAAGAGGAAGAGACCATCAGGAAAACAACGTGTCCAAATATAAAGCCCTCTAGAAAGCGGATTTTTCCAAATTGCTCCTAATAGCTAACTTGGCAGCGGTGGGCATTTTTCTGGCATGATCTTTCCTGTCCTATGAGCCATATTTCTGATTCTCTGGAGTTAGTATGCGGTCCCGGTTTTGTTCAAAGAGTTCTAACATTTTCTTCCTGTCATGGTCAGCCTCGATCACCTGGAAATTAAACACACGGGTCAAAGGGTTGCACTTGACCTCAACATCCTCCTCCCTTCACGATGAAGAGGGCAAGAGGTGGAGGCAGGCAGGACGAGGCGGGGAGAGGCAGAGAAGCCCAAGGTCACAGGCAGATAAAATGGGAGCTTTGAAGCAAAACAGCACCTGATTCGAGGTCAATTCACATTCTCAGCTATGTTTTCACTTACGAATCCACTACAGCGGTCCCTGCAGCCAGCCCACGAATGATGCTTTTCTCCCATCGTGTTATATTATCCAATCATGGTGGGGAGAGGGGGGTAGAATAGATTTTACTTCTTCAAAAATCCAGCACAGTAATATCTCACTTTCCAGCAACCTCCTGGCTCAGAAGCGCCATGAGTAGAAGTACTTGAGAAGCCAAACAGATGTCCCTCAGGCCACACACAAGAGCTTGTGTGCGGCCCTCCCTCGCATCCCACGCTGTGCACACATTCCCAACGGTCTCAGCTTCTACCTGCCTGCCTCAAGAAATTCAGGAGCAGCAAATCAGAAAACAAGGGGTCAGGGAAGCAAGAAACGCGGACAGGGCAGAAACGGCGACAGAGTTAGAAGTGGCGTGTGTCAGCAGGAAAACAGGGGGCTGCTACACAAAGCCAACGCGGGAGCTCACACACGTGAGTGGTCTGGGGCAAACAGTCCTACACACCTCAGCACCTCCTAAAGGCATCGCTGGGTAACAGCCCAGGACGGCACTGGTGCTCCTCCACATGCCCTGGGTCACCAAGAAAGGGTGCAGTGAGGCTCTGCGCCTGCTACCCACTGAAGAAGGGGGGCAGCATCGCAAAGACCACCAGCTCGAGTGCTTACAGCCAAAACGCATGACTGGAAACTTCAGGCATCTGGGACACTCCTTCACTAACGAGGCTGGATAAGTGAATGCTACCGTGGCCACCAGTGTAATGACCCTGGGACAGGTCACCTTCTCTCAGACCTGTCCAACTAACTCTGAGGCTCAGTCCAGAGTGGGGCCTGGGCCAGAGAAAGAGCCCTACCCATCCTCCCTGCTTCCTCCTTCTCAATCCTCCAGCTCTGAAAGACCTCGTGCTTCCCCAGACTGCACAGTGGCTGACATTCCCTGGGCTACTCCTCCTTCTAGAACAATCTCCTACCCTGCCAGGGGGACTTACCAGAACAGGGGCTGCCACAGGGAAAAGGCCTCCTTTGAAGAGCCACTCCTCATAGAGGCGGTGAATAGCATCCAGGTATTCCTGCCAGGAAACACACAGACACACACACACAGACACAGGCTGTCAGGAGCAGCGAGGGGGGCAAACCTTTCCACCAAGGGTCTCGGGCAGGGGCATGAATGTCGATGACCATGGGGCAGTGGTTTGGACAAAGGAGCCCACGACTGCTGACCCGGCCCAGGCAGATGGCAGTTAAGTGTAGCCGCTTGGCCAGCCAGACTGGGCGTGGGGACAGTCAGAGGCTTCACTCGGGCTGCGCGCGAGCCAGTGCCCCCCCACCCCCCGCCCCACTGGTGCCCGTGCACACCCTGCCACCTGGCTTCTCACATTTCCTGCCACTTCTCCCACAGCAGGGCCATCAGTGCCTTCCTAGTGGGTTCCATGGCCACTCCACGGCCGGACAGCTCAGCCCTGGGCAGCCTCTGACCCCTCCCCTCTGACCTTCCCTCTAAGAGGACAGTGACCCTCACCGGCCTGGGGAGTCCATTCCTGCTGCTCCCGCCACCTCAGACAACTTATAACCTGTGGACCCTCCAGACCATGAGGACCAACTTCAGAAAGCTCCACAAGGTGGAACCAAAGGGACAAGAGACCCAAACATGGCCCTAAGCCATTCGTGCCTCTGCACGGACAGGACTGGACAGCACACACTCCACGTGCACAAACCAAGGTGCTCCGGCTGCCTGTGACCACCTCCCCAAGAAGCAATTTCCTGCCGGCCCCGCAGCTCTCAGGGAAACCGCACTGCCACCTTCTTATCCACCACTGAGTTCTCCCTTGGCAACAAAGATTTGTCCTAGAGGCCGGGTCAAAAATGTTAGGATAAGAGCTTGGCTAATGGCTTCGAGGGACTCCAGACTTGTCATTTCTTCGGAACGTCTGTGTCACCACACAGAGCGGCCGTGCCTTACCTTGGTTTGGCCCAGCCCCGCTCCACTGCACCCTTCACTCCTGTCTCTGGATTTCAAAGGAGCCGCCTAGAGGAAGGCCCATGCCTTCATGGCTGAGGCCATGGAAAGCAAGTCTAGGCAGACCTCAGGAGCTGGACAGCTCTTAAGGGCCCCCAGTCCAGCCCATCCTGAGCTCAGACCCCCATGACATCCCAGTAAATGCCTGTCAGCCTCTCTCTGTGTACTGCCAGGGGCATTCACGTAGGGCATTCAGTTCAGTACTGACTGAGTAACTCCTAGGTGCCAAGCCCTGGGAATCAGGCTGGGGATGCAGAGGGAATAAGATCTAATCTTAAAAAGCTCACAGTTTGATGATGGATGGGGAACAAACAGACAGTTCCAACATGCTTGTCCTTAGGGCTGTGATCATAATAAGCCCAGAGGTCAGGGAGGCACAATGGAGGGAAGGCTATTGAAGGCTTCCTGGAGAAGATGACATCTGAGCTGAACTTGGAAGGCAAAAGAAACCACTACACACAAAGGCACATTTATGTAACTATGTGGTGAATGAGTGTGGGGGGGGGTGGTGGGGGTGTGTGGCCACAACTAGTCTCTGTGGCCAGAGCATGAAAAGCAGGGAGTGGAGGGAGATCACACCAATCAGGCAATGGGGACTTTAGCCCAGACAGCAGCAAAGCATTGAGGGCTTGTGGCTGGGAATCATCACCCAAGCAGCAAGGTGGAGACCGGATTTTGGAGGGAATGTGGGGAGTTAAGGACCAGGACACGGAGGCCAGTCCAACAGTTACAACAGGCCTGACTAGAGTCCATGTGGCCCTGCGCCAGAACCCAGAAGGGCGAGATGCTGGGCAAGTCCTAGAGACGGCCACCTCCGAGCCCAGCACTGCACGAAGCAGTTGGGATGCAGCTGCAGGCACGTTCTAGTGAGGATCCAGAGCTGGGCACCCAGGCAAGTAACCTTTAGGAGGGGGACAGGATGGGCCCTGGGGGCACCTGGGCACGGACTGGGAGAAAGGATGCCTCCAAGCTCAGAGGGCGCCAAGCACTGAGTTCCGAGCCATAGGAAGTGAGGTGGGTCTGGACTCTGCACAGGGTCTCCAGCCACAGAGGAAGTCAGAGTTTAGCCTCCAGGGCACTCAGTTCCTGTTTCTTCCTCTGTGACAACAGCATGGTGATCTCACAGAGGGAAGGGCCGGGCTGTGAACGACCTGGTTTCTGGGTCCTCTTGAGGCGGGTTAAAGAGAGCTCTTACCAGGGAGATGACCGTCTCCTCTTCCCTGCATCTCATCTGTAACCTCTGATAACAGGTCTCAGGGGTGGTCCGCAGATAAACTGAGATTAAAAAAAATAATAATACGTGGTTCTAACTACTCCGTTCATGGTTGGAAGTGAAAGCTGAGGGGAGGGGGAAGGGAAGGAAGGCGTGTGGGCAAGGCGTGGAGAGAAACATCCACCAGCAGCTCTGGGCAGGAGACATAGACCACAGCCAGCTCGTAGCCTGACCACGGACCAGCTGTGTGGACTGACAGGCATCTTAAGCCTCATCCCAACTTTCGTTTTCCTTCCATGTCGCCAGCCCTACAGGGTCGGTGTGAGGCTGGATGAGCTTCCATGCATACACAAAGCTTAGACAGGGTCTGGCACAGTGGGTCTCAGTAAACGTCCAGGTCCTGTCCCTCCTCCTTCTCATATAAACTAGGAGAAAAACATCAAGTCACAACGGACCAGGGGAGAGCAGCCTGCGTAACAAAGGCCAGGGTGCTTCTAGAGGAGGAACCAAAACGCCCCAGATTCTGTCTGCCATTGGAGAGGAGGCTGAATTGACGTGGGAAAAGAATCAGCAGTGGTAAGGGCTCTGCCCACCATCCCAGCTGGTTGGCATCCGGCCAAGCACATCCTCACTGGGGGAGGGAGATCAGGAGGGGCCTCTCACCTATCAAGTCAATGGACACGTCGATGTTCCTCACGATCCAATCAAACCATTCTGACAGAATCACATAGTCCACTTCAGGCATCTTCCCACTATAACGAGAGTTAAGGGTTTTATTCATCAGAAGGACCCGTGGATGGCTTGTGTGTAAAGGGCATGACACAAGGCACCACGGTACAGTGCCATCCATGGGATATTGGGCCCGAAACACTCGGACCCTCCGCCACTGCGCGACGGCTCATGGTCTAATGCAGCAAGAGTCATGGAACAGCTCGATGGGAGAGCTCGTTAGGGATCTGAACTACAGGCAGAGAAAGGGACTCCGAAGCCTGTTTCTGGAGGATAAGGACAGCACTCAGTCTGGAAGGGGGAGCAGCAAACCAATTCCACCTCTAGAAGTTTATTTCGTGGAAATAATCAGAGATGCTCACCATAGCACCACCTAAAATAATGAGAAACGAAACCTTGGCACATCGGCAGAACAGTAAACCATGAAGTAACTGAAGACAATGTTGTAAAATAATACTTAATCACATGGAAAATGCTCACAATCGAATGTTCAATGAGAACAGGACGTAAAACTGTGTATATAATATGACTCAACTGTATTTTCACAAAAATTCGTTCACACATTTTGAAAAAAGACTGAGAAGAAAAACAGCAAAATGTATACAGTGCTTTTCTCTGAGCTGCGGGACTATAGGAGACTTTTTTTCTCTCTACCCTTCTGTATTTTCCAAAATCAGCAACATGTTGGTTCTCAAATCAAGGTTTGGGATGAGGAGAAATAACTACGTGTTTAAAATGTGAACTGAAAAAGAAAGGAAGGAAGTATTCAAGACAACATTCCAAGCATCCACGAGGCCAAGCGTCTCTCCCCAGCTCCAGCAGGGTTCCCCCGCCCCAAGAGGAAACCAACAGGGAAGAGACAGAGGGCCAGCAGCTAGAGGCACAGCCCTGTCAAAGGCTGGGTGATCCGCAAAGGCCTAGGAGGGGAATTCTCCCTTTTAAGACCCCACCACCATCTTGGATACCAGCTTGGATCCACTCAGAACAGGGTCTAGCAGGACTGGCGATGGGACAATGGCCATGCCTAGGCCCCAGTGTGCACAGGGGGCTTTCTGGTTGCCGATGAACAGCAGGGACGGGAGAAGAGCCCAGTGGAAGGGCGGTCTGGAGCTGGCTCCCTGCCAGGCACTGAGAACGGACTCCCACCTGATGGGAAAGGGGGGGTGTAGGGGTGGGTATGGACGGAGACAAGAAGCTCAGACAGTTGGAGGGGGTGCTCTAGGGGACCAATGGCACAAGCAGCCCTGCCTGGGGCCGAAATGACAGGGCATGGCACAAACTGGACAGGGACACTCGCCCCTAGTCCCTGAGACACCATGAGGTCCTCAAGGAAGAACAGCTGTGCCTGGGCGGAGCAGTGGGAAAACGTAGGTGCCCGAGAGAACAGCAAGGGGAGAGGGGGCGGAGACCCAAGCAGACTAACATGCAAGGGCTTCTGGAATGAGTGGGGGAGAGCGGTGGGAAGAAGTCCTCTAACACTGCAGAGGGGACCCAAGCCAACACAAGCCAGGAACTAAAAGTAATGACTTTGTGACCACAGGTTGGTATGGCGTGAGGACAGGTGGCTGTCTCTCTTCTTATCTCCTTAAAGCCCATTACTGGGGTACCTGGGTGGCTCAGTTGGTTAAGCATCCGACTTCAGCTCAGGTTATGATCTCACCATCCATGAGTTCAAGCCGCACATTGGGCTCTGTGCTGATAGCTCAGAGCCTGGAGCCTGTTTCAGATTCTGTGTCTCCCTCTTCCTCTGCCCCTCCGCCGCTTGCGCTCTCAAAATGCAGTAAACATTAAAAAAATAAAGTAAAAAAAAAAAAACACTAAAAAAAAAAAGTAGCCCATTATTTATTCAGGCCTGAATGTTCCAGGAAAACCTGACCGCATCCCAAGCTTCAGGGGAGGCCCAGCTGGTCTAAGGGAAGTACTCTCCTCTCACAAGCTGCATCAGTCAGTACAAGGCATCCCCTGAGTGGCCAGGCTGGGCCGGTGAGACGTGAGAGAGGCTTGCAGGGGGTTGATGGACACCATGCTTCCTCACACTCAGAGGAAAGCCACTGCCAAGACACCTACTCTGGCCAGCAAGTGAGAGACCTGGTTCTGCCACAGCCATTTCGTCATCATGAGGGAATCATACTGAGGACACAACAAGACACAAGAGTAGGAAAGCAGGGCGAGAGCCACTGAATGAAACCAACCCTGAAGCCTGCCATTAAGATAACCAGTAACGACCTCATCATTCAGGCTCCTTGGAGCTGGGTTTCAGTTAGCTGCAGCTCAGAGTATCTGATTTCAATAAATCAAACCACTCTCTCTTTACGCGTTTTCCGTGGTTTCCTTCGCTGGGAAACCAAGTTTTGTTGTCCAGAACAAAACTGACTAGGAGGGAATGAGGTTTTCCCAAACAGAAGCTGCTAATCAGCCCCTCCCCTTCTCTAGTAAACACAAACAGAGCCAACAGCCTGAAGGCACAGAACAGACTAGCAACACAGGGCTGTGGGCCAGGGAGCAGCAGAGCAGCACCAGAGGGGCAGGGCTGTCTAGAGCCTCCCAAGTCGCCCAACACTAGGCGGTCGCAGTCGGAGTCAGACTTTGCCCTGGAGAACTTCACATGTGTCTGCAAATTCTGCCAAATCCCAGAGCTGGGAAGATCCCCAAGGATGCGACCGCAGAACTGGGTCACCATGCAGAACACGTGCAGCCCAGTGGTAACTGAAAAACCAGACCAACACTACCAGAAAAAAGTGTCATGATGTGCATGGAAGGTCACAGAGACACGGAGATGGGGCTCACACCTGCGGGGGTCTCTGGGGCCTGCCTGGGAGCCGCTACTCCCCTGAAAATCAGCTCCAGATGATCTCAGGACGCGTCCTGAGGGGCTCAGGGGCCCTCTGGTCCCACCCCACCCAGCCACACTGGCAGCTTCCCCCACAGGGCTGAGAGTGGACAGGAAGCAGGACGTCCCTTTCCAGTGCTCTCCTGGAGGGGTGGAGCCTCCCTGCAGGCAGGGTCGGCAGACAGACCTCCAGGAAACCCTTCTGGGGTTGCTGGGAGCACTGTGCTGGGGGATCTAGGACAACCAGTCACTGGCTAAGCTGAGTGAGGAAACTGAGGCCTGGTTTCCGTGATTCTGAGGGATGTCAGACACCAGGTGCTGCTTTATCCATATTTGCAGTTTTCCTCCTGGAAGTTCTACCTGCTCCGCCTGTGTCTGCCTCAGAATGGGGCACCGCCAACAAGCCACGGCATTAATTTTTTTTTTTAATGTTTATTTATTTTGGAGGGGGGAGAGAAAGCATGAGTGGGCCAGGGGCAGAGAGAGGGAGACAAAACAGGCTCTGGGCTCTGAGCTGTCAGCATAGAGCCTGACGCAGGGCTCAAATCCACGAGCAGTGAGATCATGACCTGGGCTGAAGTCAGATGCTTAACCGACTGAGTCACCCATGCACTCCTTAAATTTTTGTTTAATGTTTATTTACTTTTTTTTTTTAATGTTTTATTTATTTCTAGGAGAGAGAGAGACAGCGCGAGCAGGGGAGGGTCAGAGAGAGAGGGAGTCACAGGCTGAAACAGGCTCCAGGCTTTGAGCTGGCAGCCAGCACAGAGCCCGATGCAGGGCTCGAACCCACGAACCGCGAGATCATGACCTAAGCGAAAGTCGGACACTCAACCGACTAAGCCACCCAGGCGCCCCTAATGTGTATTTACTTTTGAGAGAGAGAGAGAGAGTACAACAGAGAAGGAGCAGAGAGAGAGGGAGACACAGAATCCAAAGCAGGCTCTAGGCTCTGAGCTGTCAGCACAGAGCACAACATGGGGCTCGAATTCACAAACAATGAGATCATGACCTGAGCCAAAGTCAGACACTTAACTGAGCCACCTTGGTGACCCCAAGCCACTGCTTTTATTTCCACACAGTGGAACACACAGTGAGTGGCGCCTCTCTACAGAAAATCCAACCACATGACTCCCCAGCAGTGGAATAGGTGGACTGAGAGGGTTTCACGGTCCTGTCCCCTTACTCAGGGTGGCAAAAACGAGGTCTTGGATCCACACGGATCCTGCTGGCTGTTTTGCTTGGTGCAGTTTGCTGGCCATCTTCCCCCTGAGGCCCTCAGAGCCCCCAGTTTGCACAGTACAGGCTGGAACAGAAACCTCACATTCACACGCCAGCCTCCCTGTATACATGATTGTCTTTTGTTTTCACAAGACCTCATAGAGTCAAATTTAGTCCCAAACTTGTAGATGAGGAAAACTGAGGCCCAGAGCAGTGAAACACAGTCTCAGTCTGAGCAGGAATTAATTAAAGTAAAGCAGGAATTAAAGCTAGTCTCTGTAGCCCCCAAACCCATATGCTGTCCATTACATCACTCGCCTTCCCTGTCTGTCAAGTGAGGGGGCTGTTCTGGACACTCCAGTACCTCTTTTGCCTCAGCTAGAGGAAAGGCACAGCTCTCAGGGTCATGACCAGGCCTGAGTCCTAGTCTGGACCAGAGCAGGAGAAGAGTCCCAGCCCCCAGGCTAGCTAGGGAGGTAGGAGGACCTGTACTGTTTCAAATGCAGGGTCTCAATCAATGTCCCTGACCACCAGCCCCAGGTGAGTCAGCTGTTATTTCTCCAGCTGGGCCCCACTCAGTTCCCCTACTTCTGTTCTTTGAAAATGCCAACCAATCTGATAAAACCTTGGCATTCAATTATTCAGCCCACAGGGCTTGGGCCACACAATTGCCTGCGTGGCCACTTTAGCTATGTGAGTCCTTCTCGCCTCCTTCAGCTTTTCACATCAGTGCTGTGCCCACGCCTCACAAGTGCCTGGTCATTAAGGAGGCTATGTAACTGGAATCTTCCTCTAGCAACTAACACCATGCTCTCATACCCCTAGCAGCATAATTGCACTTACATTCTGCCTGCCCCAAACTCGCTGCGGTGGGGGGCCCAGAAGAGGCAGGTCTCTCCCTAGGAGAGCTTCCCACTTGTTCAAGGTCCAAAAGGCAAGGATACCTTCAAGAAATTTTGCTTTGGGGGATGCAGAATGCCAGTAAGGGCCTGGCAGACTCACTTCCACCCAGGCCCTCGCCCCAAGGTCACAGTGGCTTTTAAGAAAGAGAAAAGGACCAATCCCAACACTGAAGGGGCAGCAGCAACTTGTGCCCTGCCACGTGGAAGGGCTGTCCCTGTCAGGGCACACTGGGAAGCTTTTTCCTTAAGCATCAGAGGATGGGGGGAGGCATGAGCTCAGGCAGTAGCTCACTCTCCACACATGCCATGTTGGGGTTCCCAGTACCCAGCCAAACTCACCATAGGCGGGAACCAAAATATCCTATTTTAGGAGAGGGCAAAGGATCCAGCCAAACTCGGTTGTACACACATTTGGTTTAGGCTCAAAAGGACAGTAATCTGTATCTGCAGGAAGCAGAAAACTCTCAAAACATCTCCTTTCTCAGTAACACTTCACTGTGGCTGACCCACTGCATCAAGGAAAGCTGGGGCTGGAAGGAGAGCGACCGAGAAGAAAACCCACATTCACACCACCTTGCACTTGTCACCTCATTAGCTCTGGCTACGAACACTCCACTGTGCCTCCACACAGAAAACCTTTGGCCTATGGCTGTACCTCTCCTGGCCGAGGAATAAACCTGGAGACCCTTAAAACAAAGAAAACACAGCAAAACTCCCAACAACTAAAACCTGAAACAACAAATGTGAAATGAACAAACAGCAAGGAATGCAGAAACAGGACCTCCACCTCCTGCACTGAAGAACTTTCACCAGGGCGGGCCACCTACCCCCAAGAAAGCCTGCAGGACTGAGCTCTTGCTCTCCTGATCCCAAGGAAGCCACAGGAACAAAACTCAAGGAAAAGGGCTAGGCATTAGGATGGAGAGCTTGCGGGCTGGCTGCTGGCTTCTTCTAAGGCCTTAATGCCTCCAAGTGTGCTCCCCCCAGGATGGTGGCCAACTAGGGTGCTTGTTAGAAATGCTGATTCTCAGGCCCCACCCTGCACTCAGCAAAGCCACATCTATATATTAACAAGATCTCTGGGTGATCTCTGGGAGAAGCCTGCTACATAAGGCCTGGGTGGAAAGAGGCAGAGGCCTGGCTCCCCATAGTGGGCACCTCAGGGGCTCCAACCAATCTGAAGCCTCTGGCCTTAAAGAGAAAAATCGAAATGTCTCTCATGGCTTCCTCATTACTGCTCCCCACACAGCAGGGCACGGGGCAGCTCCCCTGCTCAGCCATCTGTCTGGTCAGGAAGGGGCATGGGTCTTCTGAGCCCACGTCAGTTCCTACTCTGTCAAACAGGGTCCACCGTACCTACACCACAGGGCTGCCCTGAGGACTCAAAAGAGGAGGAGCATGAAGAACCAGCCAATAAATGTGGCTCCTGCTCTGTCTCTTAACCACTTGAGCAAATGCCCTCGTTTCCAGGGAACACAAATGACCTGGTCCAGGTCACAGCTGAATCACTCACACCTCGAAGGTCCTTCTCAGAACCCCTCTCCTTGAGTTCCTCACCTCCAGAGTCTGGGGTCTCTGGGGCACATGACTGAGGGAGGGGGTACTCCAAACCACATGCTCAGCATGGTGTTTGTTATAGGTACAAACAGAAGAACACATTACAGAACAGAATGCAAAATCCACATGAATTTGTAAGATAAAAGAGGGGACTTCAACTTCTGGTTTGCTAGTGGGCTTCTTTGGGCTATCTGGGCTCGGAGGGCAAGTGGGGAAACAGCCACCTGTGTGAGCATTCCTCGGCCTCTGGAGGGCTTCAGTGAAAGGGTTTGAGGGGCACCACCTTCTCCTATCTCCCTGAAACCGAAGTGGCAGATGGCCTGGCCCCTCCCAGGCTGCCACAGTGTTCCCAGCAGCCTCTGGATTGCCCAATGCCGTGCACCAACCAACAGCTTTTAGACTGAATCAAGTGATACCAGTCTTGAGGCTCCAACAAGTCGTCAGGAATTCACGCTCTCTGAAGGCTGCATGAACTTGAAACAATTAGATCCCGAGAACAAAACCAGGGACACAGTCAATTTCTCCTGTGGTTCACTGTTCCTCTGAAATCCTAACCACAGATGCCAGGCATTCTGGGAGGGCCTGGGGAGGGATAAATATGAAGCTAACAGGGCAGGACAAGAGCTCAAGACAAATTAAAAGCTATGGTTTTTTCCTACATTACCCATAAAACAGCCCAGGGCAAGACCCACATTTTCTGGACCTATGACCTCAACCATAGCCGCAAAGATTAGGAAATCAGAACCACCCATCAGAAGTGCTGGAATGAACAACTACAGGCGTGAGTAACCAAAGCCCACGACATCAGCTAAAACAGCTAAAATGGCCTCCTGGGACAGGCAGAGACAAATGGCTCCTGGGGAAACTCGCCAGGTATTGGGCAGCCTGCAGGGAGGGGCTGCGGGGGTTAACTGGAAAATGTGGTGAAGACCAGGGTAGACAAGGACCTGCATAAGGGGCACAAAATCTAAGGAAACTAGGCAACTGTTCCATAGGCTCCCCAGAGATGGATGGGAATTAGAGATTTTTAAAAAGGGCTCAGGGGGGCGCCTGGGTGGCTTAGTCGGTTAAGTGTCCAACTTTTGCTTAAGTCATGATCTCGCGGTTCGTGGGCTCGAGCCCCGCGTCGGGCTCTGTGCTGACTGCCAGCTCAGAGCCTGAAGCCTGTTTCAGAGTCTGTGACTCCCTCTCTCTCTGACCCTCCCCTGCTCACGCTGTCTCTCTCTCTCTCTCCTAGAAATAAATAAAGCATTAAAAAATTTAAAAAATAAAATAAAATACATAAAAAAAAAAAAAAGGGCTCAGGGAGGTTTAGGAACTCAGCTCTGCTCACAATGACAGCAAATTCCAGAGCCAGGACGGAACGTAGATGCCCCGAACTCCATACCTCACCCTCTCCCCCAGGCCTCTGGTCATTCCATTCCGGATTACCCTCTTCAAAAAAGAGCCAGTGGCTGCCACACAGAAATGGCCAAGCTGACAACAATTACAAGACAGAGAGCCTCACCAGGTGAAGTCCCACCCCGCTGCCCAGGGTCCACTTGACAGAGCAATAAACAAACACCACCTGCTGGCAGAGGCACTGATGAGCAGGGCGCAAAGCAAAGTGTAGTGGACACCCGGGCCCCACTGAAACCCCAGGCAGCTGGGAGAGGCCGAGGCTCTAGCATCAGGACCACTCCTGCTGGAAGGTCGGGGGACAAAGCTACAGTCAGGACCTGCCCTGGCTGCTGTCCTGACCCCGCGGCAGGAGTCTAATGCTCGGAATGGATAGGAGCAGAGGCTGTCGTTTTGGGGGCCACACAGGCAGATGGGCACAATCCACACCAGCTTAGAACCAGTGGGAGAAGACTTTTTAGTGGTCCCCTCAAAGGAGAGGGTGTAAAACAGCTGGGGCCAGAGCCTGGGAAACGTGTCAGGCAGGAGAGCCAAGAATGGCTCCACGTCCCATCACAGGTGCTGGCCCCATGCCGTGTCCGTGCTAGGCAAGTACACCTGCCGCAGGGCCCCTGTGGTCAAGGAGCTCCTGGTCCAGCTTGCAGGGGCTGGGCAGCGGAGCCACAACAGACCACTGAACAAATAAACACAGATGAGGTTGAACAATGTGTAACTGCCACTTTTGTAGGTCAAATTTTAATAATTTCATACGGCTGAACCTAATCAGAAGGTGTCTTAAACATTATAAAGAAAGCCCAACAGCAGTAATTACAAATAAGAAAGAAGTTGGACCCATCCAGACAGGGTGGTTGGGGAGGGCTGGGAGAGGTGACACTTAGGACAGGTGCCCAGGAGAGGGAGGGGAGGCCGGCAGGTAGAGCCAGCACGCAGGCCACAGCTGGCAGCCCATCTCCCTAAGATCCCAAAGATGAGTGGTAAATGGAGCACAGAAGTCAGGAGGGTCCCAAGCCTCTGAGGCCTCAGCACTGTGGGCCAGTAGAAGCCCCCTAACCATGTCTATATGACAGAGTCCGCTCCCATGAGGACAGAAGATGGTTTTGGGTGCAATGATAACAGCCTGACCGCTCCATTGCCCTGGGTCTTCACGCTGCCCCATATCTTCCCACTCTGCCATGTGACCCACATGGGCTCTCCTCACCTCTCAGATTGGGGTCCGCTGGTGCGACCTGTTTTGGCCAATAAGATGTCAGCAAAGGTGTAGCGGAGGCCTGAAAAGTGCTCATGCATTTCTGCTGGTGCCCCTCTGCTCTCTGCCATCACCATGAGATGATGCCCAGGCTAGCTTGCTGGTCCCAGGGGGAGAATGAGAGGCAAGAAGAGAGCTAAGTCACCCCAGTCACCCCTGCAGGAGCCATCCTAGACCAGCCGACCCCCAGACATCACAGACAGCAGAGCCACCACCTGGCCGGCCACCCTAGATGACTGAGCATTCCACGCAGGAAGCCGTCTGCCACCGAGGCTTTGTGGTTGGCTGGTACACAGCAGGGCCATGGCGGTACATAACAGGGACAATACAGTAGGTCCTCAGTAACTGTCACATGGGTAAACAAGTTCCAACTTCATTTCTAAAAGAAAATTAAGGGTTTAATAATTTATCAATTGTGTAAACTACGGTACCTTCTATACAGGTTTTCTACAAAAACGTATCTCGCGCTGTGAATCGACCGCTCCATCAATCGTACTGGTGATGTCTAAAAGAAAACAAAGTGATTCACTGACTTTGTCAGTCAGGAAGGAAGGTCAGGTCAGGTCAGGTCAGGAAGGCTTGAAGGATGCCTGTTGCTCCCCTTGCCTACGGTCTATGCTGAACGCCAAGAACAGAGAAGCCCTGCGACGGTGAGGCAGTCACCAGAGCAGAAATGTGGGTCTAACATGGGGCTCAGCTGTGCTCTGCCCCCAGTCCCGAGCCCTCCCCACACCCCGAAGCTCAGTGGCCGGTGCAGCAGTGCAGGGACGGAGGGCTCATCAGCAACAGCCTCTTTCACAGGAGAGGTGAGGCTCAAATGGATTATCCATTTGGGGAAGTGCTAGAAAAACCATCAAGTGCTGTCCAGCAGAGTGCTGTCAAGTGGAAAGTGCGGTAATTAGGGAGCTAAACTGTGTGCATTTGCTTAAGTAGAGAGCTCTGTATGCTGGAGGTAAAGCCCCGAGAGGGCTGGAGTGTGCGTGACATTTTAGGGACTCTGTCATCAGTGACTGAGGGCCTGGCTTTCTGGAACGCCACAAAGATGTGAGACCTTTGTGCCTCTGCACAGGGCTGGCTGGGGCTCACTGCAGCCCTTTGCAACCTGGGAAGGACTGTGCCCAAGTGAGCAAACATTGCTCTCACTCAGCCTGGCCCACGGTACCCAGGGGACCTGGACTAGAATCAGAGGCACATTCAAAGCCATAACCCAGGAATTTCCTGACTCTCTTCTTGTGTGTTTATCTGTCCATCCATCTTCCTATCCATTTTTCCCATCCTATCCTCACTTACAACCCTCTGCTGCCCATATGTTGCTAGCTCCCCACTCATCCATCTCTCCTTCCATTCCTCCTTCCTTGTCTATCCATATTTCTTCCTCTCTCATGACAGATTTCCTTAAAGAGAGAAACACACATATGTCCTCTTATATTCAGGTATATTAGACACAATTTAGATTTGCAGTTGAGTCCCAGCTCAGGAAAAATAGGGTGAGTAAAGGGGTAAAGTGCCAACCTCAGATCCTCTGACCTGTATCATTTAGACAGGTATTTGGGGAGACAGAAATTCATACGGTTCTGCTCATATCTTCCCATCTTTAAAAGATGCAGATTTGTAGGACAGCTATAGTCACAACTGCCCAGCTCTAGATCAAACCACTCAGCTGAGTGGCCGCGTCAACATAAACAACTATAGGCATCTGCCACCTCCTTCATGGAGAGCATCTGCAGCTGGTCTTCTAGGTTGTACTCACAATTTTGAACCACAGGTGCCAATCGGGTCTCTTCAGTCAGCTCTCTTTTAAGAGACTCTGCCCCTATTTGCATGCCAGCTAATAGAGGGGGTCTAAGCAGCATGTTTGTGCCCTGTGATCTGCACCAACACCTGACTGGCCCAGGGGCAGACACAGAGACCAAGCTGAGCCAATCAAATTTTTTCTCCCAAGAATGTGAACCAACAGCCAAAGGTGAAGGTTAGATTAGCGGTTCTAAAACATGCGAACAAACAAAGCATGCATTAAAATCACCTGGAGAGCTTGATAAAACACAGATTGCTGGGCCTCCTCCCTAGAATTTCTGATTCAGCAGGTCTGGGATAGGGCCAGAAAATATGTATTTCTAACTAGTTCTCAGGTGCCCCTGTTGATCCGGGTCTAGGTATACTTGGAGAAGAATGAAGTTAAATACTGTTGAGCCCAGAAGGGGTCAGGTCGTGAAGACTCGGGCTCACAGGGGCATCCCTACCAACTTAGAGGCTAGCTGAGGCTGGTGGGTGAGGGCACCGGAGGCTGGACCTCAGAGCCACAGCAACAGGAAGCTTTGGCCCCAGAGACAGAGAGGACTGAGCAGTGCTGAAGGTCTAGTGAGGCTTCCTTGCAAGGTTCCCCTCCCAGGCACTCAAATACCCGCCGGTGAAGCCCATTTTCAGAAGGCTGAAGCTGAGCATCTGAAATGTACCTGGGGACGAGTGTGGTGGTCCAGCATGGTGAGCTGTACATACGTCTGCAGCGTGAAGCCCCATCGACTTGCATCGCGGTACAGCAGACCCTGCAGAAGGGAGAACGCAGCACTTTACCCCAAAAAGCTCAAGCTGTAGGAGTCTGGTCTCTTCAGTCACGGATGGCCATCTCGTGAAACCCACATGGGGCTGCAGTGGGGCCAGGGATGAAGCCAGCGTGGTTGCCGGGCCCTCGGGACAGTGTGGACCAACACTGGAGCAATTACAGGACAACCACGTAACAGCTGTAACAGGGGCCTGTCTCAAGTCCCAGGGAACACTCACTCAGTCACTCAGTGTTTACTGAGTCCCCTGCAGTCAGTTCTCTATCCAGCACTCAATGTGAGCAGGTTAAACCTCCCTCAGCTCTTGTTCCTCTACGAAGAACCTTCCAGCGACTTCCCACTGCATTCAGAATGAAATCCAAAGCCCTTACCAAAGCCCACAGGGCCCTAGGAAATTACTTCCATTTTCCCTTGTCTCCTACCACCCACCCTCTGACTCAGTGTGCTTCCAACCACATGAGGCTCCTGAATGTTCCCCCAAATACCCAAGCATGACCCCACCTCAGGACCTTTGCATTTGCTATGCCTTCTAACTTCTAACACTCTTGCTCCAGAAATCTGCACTGTTCACTCCCTATGTTTAAGTCTGTGCTCATGTATCCCCTTGGCAGAGATGCCTTCCCCAACTACCCTATCCAAAAGAGAAGCTCCATGCCCATCATTCTCTGTTGCTTGTATATATAAACAGTCCATGTTCCATATTCCATTTGCTAACAATCTTAAATCCTGCTCTTTTCCACATTTTTGCTTTTTTTCCCCCCTCTCTTGGTGCTAACTAATGAAATTTCAATGCTCTGCATAGAAAACTGCAGACTCCTACCTGCAGGAGAAATAAAATCTCAGAAAGCTTAGGAGAAACACTCCCTGTCTGAAGGCCGAACAAACATCTTCCTGCATCAGAAAGCCAATTCAGATAAAGTGAGGAATTGAGACTTTTCACAAAACTATCCATCTTGCCCTTCTGTCTAGACTGGAAACACATATAAAAATACCTAATTCTATCATATTCTGTATTATAAAACTATCATTGGAGATGCTCTTTGTCCTGAGGAGACTCAGACTCCTGAGACCAGGACTGTGTCCTATGCAATGTCACCTCTGAGCCCTAACATCGATGACCTAATTATCTTAGGTGGTTCCTAAAGAATATGAATGTTTCCAAGGCTTCTTTGTTATGCCCAAAGAGAATGACTGGCATTCCGTCTTCTCCCACAGGCACAGAGGTGAAACTCTTTTCATGTCTCTGGGATTCTTTATTCAAAGACTCTGAGAACTTCTGCCCTATTTAATTAATATACTTTTGCCTGCTTCAGATGTCTTCCCAGCTCCCATCACCACCTACCAAATCACATACCAAATTGTCATCTGTCTCCCCAAACCAGAATATTAAGGCCAAGAGAGCAAGAGCTTTGAGCTGCTCCAGAGTCTAAACCGTGCCTGTACATGGCAGGCATTCAATAAGTATTGGTTGAATGAATGAATGAATGAATGAGCACCTACTAGGTGTCTGGCAGAGTGCTATGTTGTAGCAAACATAGTCAACCAAATTAGACATAGTTCCTGCCGCTAGTGGAACCTGGAGTCTAATGAACCACACAAGACATCACTTGTGTTGCTAGAAATAAGGAGCTAGCACAATCTCCCCATGGACCACGGGTCAGATCTGCTAGGTCTGTCATTTACCAGCGGCATATGACCTTGGGCAACTTAGTTCAGCTGCAGTTTCCTCACCTGAAAAATGAAACTAATCACCCCTACATCACAGGGCAAGAGCCCACAACCAACATCCCTGTCTAGGCTCCCTCTTACCGGACTCAAACTCCACCCATCTCTTTCAACCAGCCAGAGCAGAGCCTCCCGCACGGGGATGGAAGGCAAGGGGCTCAAGCATGCTGTAGCCCCTGCTTGCTAGGTCCACCCTTGGGAAAGCAACAGGTAGCTTCAGGGTGAGCCGAATTCAGTCCCTGGACATTGCCAAGTATAAACCCAAATCAGAGGTTTACCAAGCAACCTGGTTACTTAGAGACAGGCCCTAAGGGAGACCTAGGTTCTACTGGGTTCCTTCTAGGAGAGGGTAGGGGTGGAATGAGCAGCAGGAAATGGACGCCCCTGGCAGCTGAGGCTGACCACCTGGGACAGTTTGGGATAGTTGACAGGAGGTTTCTGTGATCTGCAAATGCCAAGCCAGGCCTCAGAGCTCCTTGACCTCAGAACACCAATATGCTGCCCTATTCATTTGCCCCTCCCTCTTCTCCTCCACCCCAGATAAGAGCTAGGAAAACAGATGTGCAGGGAGGGGGCAGGCTCAAACACCGGCACACCAGGCCCAGGCACTTAAGCCAAAGCTGGCAATGCAGGCAGAAGACAACACACTCACCAGAATATTATGGCCACGGACATTTCTCCACTTGGGCACTGGCTCCTGTAATACCTGCAAGGAAAAAAAAAGCAGAAGTCTGCTGCTCTGCAAGATTTGGTAACCCAGCGTAGACCAAAATAGTTGGGCAATCCTCTCTGCAAAGCCACAATTCTATCTAGACATGCCCTTCTCACAGGACTTCCAAAAATGACCTGAGAACTATGTCCGTCCCTGTATACGAGAATACACACATACCAGCCTTCCAGGTGCCCTGGGAGCAGAGGGCAATATCTCCTGCATGTGTTCCATCTCAGCCCATTCTGTCCCCATGACAGGCTGGGCAGACAGGGGAGAGAAGCTAAGAGAAAAGCTGCTTGAGGCACTTCCAGCTGTGGTTTAAAGCCCAGCTTCCTGGCTTGGGGACTCTCCCATGACCTCAGCAATTTGCTCTGTCTCCATTTCTTCCTTTGAACTCTGCACTGGGCACACTGACAGCTAAGAGTCACGTTTCATTAGTATGCTCCCTAAACTGTGCCAGGGCCTTTCTGGGGCATAGGTATGTGCTAGGAAGGATTTAAATGGTGCTCTTAGGGCCAAGAATTTGAGAGTACCCGGATCTATCTGGGGGCCTGAAAGTGCATGGAAGCAGGTTCTATAGGTCACAAAAGACCAAAGGAAAGCAATGCACAGAACCCATGAAGAGTAACGTCCCCTGACCTTTTATACCTCTGTGCCTTTGCTCATGCTGTTCCTTCTGACCCTCTCACCTCAGTTCACATCATCTTTCATTACACAGAAAACTCTTATATATCCTTCAAAACTCAGCTCAAATACTTTCCTCTGTGAATCATTCACTGTTCCTCAACACTCCATCCCTGTCCTGAGTAGCATATGTTGCACCACTTAGGCCCACCAGAGGCTGGTCACAGGAAGCCTTGACCTATGCTCCATCTATGGCACTGCCATCCACCACTTACTGAGGACTCACCATGCCAGATGCCATGCTAGGCAAGAACTCACCATGCCACCTCCGCCTCCGCTTTTATGGAACTTTAAACTTACTGTGAGAAGCAGACCTTGATTGGATCATCACAGAAATCACGTATTTTCAAACTCCAAGAAGAGGTGTAAAACAAAGAAACAGGGGTGTAAAACAAAGGGGCTGGAAGAATCTACACCAAGGAGAGTAACCTAGCTGGGGAGGTCAAAGAGTACTGAGCTGAGAGCTGAAGGCTAAGGGAGATCTTCCTAAAGCCAACAAAGGCCTTCATGCTACAGAAAAACCAAACAAGGGAGTGGTCCCTGGAGCCAGACAGCCTGGGCTGAGATCTGGCTCTCTGTCACACACTAGCAGTGTGACCCTGGCCATTCGTTTGACCTCACTGAGCCTCAGTTTCCTCCTCTGCAAATGAGGTGATAATTGCACCTACCTCATGGAGACTACTCTTATGAGGATGAAATCAATTAGATAATATATTGAAGCCTCAACACAGTCCTGACATACAGTATTACCTCATTAGATGTGAACTCCCGTTGTTATTTTTAATTTTGTTGTTCATTGGCTCCAACGTCTTACATAAGAGCATAAGTGCTCCTAAAGTGCCATGTAGAGTTACACCACTCAGGTGTGTCAGGAGCCCCTAAGATCCCTGCCTCCCAAGGTTTGATGATTCACACAGAGGACTCAGAGGACACAGCATACAGTGGTATTCACAGCTGAGATTTGTTACAGAAAAAGGGTACAAAACAAAATCAGTAAAGAAAAAGGGTGCACAGAGCAAAGTGTACAAGGAAACCAGGCACAAGTGTCCACAGGGCCTCTTCCAGGGGAGTCACCCGTAAAGCACTTAACTGCCCAGCAGCAGCTGTGACAAGTCGTGTGAGGTGGTGCTCCACCAGGGAAGCTGGCCTGAGCCAGGGAATTCAGGGTTTTCATCAGAGCTCAGGCACATAGGCAGCCTCTGGCTGGCACATCCAAAACCTCCAGACTCCCAGAAAGAAAGCAGGTATCCAGAATAAACCATATCGTTTGCACAAACAGTTTAGGCACAGAGATCCATTTCTATCAGTTAGGAAATGGTGGAACTCTCCCAAAATCAAAGTTCCTACACGCCAGCCAAGGGCCAACCTCACAAACAAGCCTCTCTGAGGACAGCAGTCTCGGGCCTGTGAACTCTTTCCTGCACAATCAAGACAAGGGCTACAGAATGTTTATTCTTTTTACCAAACCAGATATGTGTTTAATAGAAGTAAAAAGCAGGATGGGGCGCCTGGGTGGCTTAGTCGGTTGAGCGTCCGACTTTCTCTTAGGTCATGATCTCGCGGTTCGTGGGTTCGAGCCCCGCGTCGGGCTCTGTGCTGACTGCCAGCTCAGAGCCTGAAGCCTGTTTCAGTCTGTGACTCCCTCTCTCTCTGACCCTCCCCTGCTCACACTGTCTCTCTCTCTCCTAGAAATGAATAAAACATTAAAAAAAAAAAAAAAAAGAAGTAAAAAGCAGGAAGGGAAAGAAGAAAAGACTCCAAAGGTATGAAAATTGTAGGATCTATAGTAACAAAAAAGAGCCATAAACAGAAAAAAATACATCATTAAAATCTACCAGGAAGAAAAGTCAGGGTCTTAGTGTACAGACACTTCTTAAACATCTGCGAGGTTATTTTGAGTGACTGGGCTGTACATGAACTAGAGTAATGTTCACTGGCTCCCCGTGGTAATACTCCCCAGCGTGGACATGGGTATCACAGATGCCACACCATAATCTGCTCCCACTCTCAACAGCCTGACTTCCTTTCCCACATGCAGACCCTTCTTAACCAGAACGCAGGGAAGTCTGTACCTGCACTGTCCGACACGGTGACCATAAGTCACTTAGAGCTATTACAAACTTCAAATGTGACTAGTCCAAATTGAGATACACTGTAACTACAAAATACATTCTAGATTTCAAAGACCTGACATGAAAGAATGCAAAATAGTTCATTGACGATTTTTATATTGATTACATGTTGACATAATAACATTTAGAATATTTTATGTAAAATTAAATATTTTGGGTTTGTTGTTTTTTTTTTAGAAAACCATCAGAAATGTTACATTACATATGTGGCCTGCATTCTATTTGTATTGGCTATGGCTGGCCTATACCCTCCACCAGTCACACTATCAAGCTTTTACAGGTTCCTTCGAACCCAGTGTGGAGGCCATACCTCAATCCCTGTTGTGTTGGAGAAGAACTCGAGGCACGTCGTCTTCCCGCTTGCAATATTGCCCTCAACACAGATCTAACAAAAGACAAATACATATTAGAATCAGAAATCAAGCATCTAGGGGAGTATCAGGGAAGAATTTCTAGGGAAAGGCTCATGTGAACAGCATAACTGGTTCAGCCCAAGACTTCAATGTGCACACAAAATTCCCTCCACAGGAAACTTCCAAGCTCCCACCTTTAGTACTAACTGATTCCCACCCCTGGTGGCTAGCTCCAGGCCCACCATTGGTGGCTGCTGGTGGCCACTGCCCTCCAGGACAGACCCTCCCTTATGTTACTTCCTAAGCCATACATTGCTTGCCAATGGCCACCCTGGCTCTGCCCTTCCTTTGCTCAACCCCTTAGACCATCAGATTTTAGACCTCAGTGTCCGGCCTCCTTAACCGGAGCCTAATGGCTTTGAGGTGGGAAGCATGTATATGTTATCTAGACCTTAACTCACTGCTTTTCATGGAAGAACACACTCGGCCATGGACTGGAAAGTATTCAGACAGGAGAAAAGGACTTGGTTAAGCACCCTGCAGTAGGCCAGGCCAGAAGATGGATAACATATACCATTACCACATTTAACCTCACCAGAACCCAAGCAAGGCGTCCTAACACTTTCACAAGAGTGAAACATGGGCTCGTAGAAGCAAATAAAGCAGAGGGACTAGCTGGAACCCACACTCTGCTCACACTAACTGGACGGGGAGAGAGGGCTCACAGACAGCCTTCAGGGCACAGTGACCTTTAAACTCGGGCCGGAAGCACCCAGAGAAATGTGGACCATGTAGATGACTTGCCCAAGGCGCCAGGCCTGATGGAGAAAAGAGATGGAATCATACCTAGGTCTGGCAGATCCCTTTTCACGACTCCAGGGAAGCCTCAGTCACACCCCACTTAAAACATGGGGTCACAGTGGGCCATCTCACCTTGTTCCCCCCACTATAAATTCTGCCAGTCACCTGTGAACATTTCCTCCTGTCCTGATCCTAACAGGTATCCAGGAGGGCTACACAATCACACTTCTAACAGATGCCAGCTCATTTCCTTAGAACTCAAAACTGTAAAATGAACTCAGTGGAGTGCACAAAAGGCAGATCCCATCAGGGCAACTAATAGATGTGATGTTTTTTTTTTTTTTTAGATGTGATGTTTTATTGTTGTTCTTCAAAGGAAACAATTTTGTCTCTTCCTAGAAAATGAGGACAAGCTCAGCCTAGACACTGTTCTGCACAGACTCTGTTTCTTTCCTGTTCACTGTAGGAAACAGATTGCTTGGATGAGACCTTCCTCCAAAAGTGCCTGTTCCTATGCTGTAGCGGTGACCACCCGGTTGCAGGTCAGCACAGATGAGGACTAAAGTGTCCTGTCTGGTGGGACGTCCCCTGGGCACCTCAGTTTGTCGCCTCCCAACACCCACATATGGTTCCTGTTCCAGTCCTCACGAAAGGCTGCACCATCAATCCAGACACCCCAACACCCTGGTGTCTTCTGTCCTCACCCAGTAACTCAGCAACTCCTCCGGGCCCTGCTTCCTACTCACCTGCAGAACGTGAGCCTGTCTCCAAGGCCCCTACCCAGGTGGCTGGAGCAGCCTCCCTGCTGGCCTCCCTGCCTTCCGGTCTGGCCTGGAGGTACCCCTCAACCCCACCCATGGCCCACCACCAACTCTTCCTGAGAGGCAAAGTCTTCCAGTGGCTCCAGGCGTTGGGACCTGTCTCCACTCCCCCCATGCCAGCTTCCAGGGGACCGGCCAAAGCCTTGGGCCTACAGGGTCTCTTCCTTCTGTGACTCATACTTGCAGCTCCCTCTGCTCCCACACTCCACGACCCCCCTTCCCCTCATCTCCCAGGAGGCCTCAAGGCTCCCCTCAGTCACTGTCCTCTGGATGTTCTGCCCCCTACTCACAGCCCCTAGAATCACCGCTGTTCTAGATCCACCATGGCCCTATTTCTTGCTGTCTCCCCCATCAGACCAGACTCTCACTAATGATAGGGGCTACTTGGTCCCCAGATGCACAGAGGCACTGAGAAGATCTGAATGACTAAGAATAGCCATGAGCCTAAATGTAGTCTCCATACCACTTCTGATGGACCTACTGTGTGCCTGGAGGGGCAGGTCCAACCATACCCAGAAAGCAGCCAGGGTAAGAAGTCTGGCTCACATCAGTGCCTAGCTTGGTAACTGATAGTACAATAATGTATCAATTCCCAACCAGCTTCTGTAGTGCCAGAACCCACCCAACCTCTCATTTCAGCACGCTTTGGTCAGTCTCAAGCCTTTCAATCACCAATCCTCTCCAGTGACTCTATTCCATCCCAGGCCCTCTCCATCACCCAGAATACCCCAGGGTGCTTGCTCATCCTTTCTGCCCTCTGCAGAACCCAACCAAGGTATTCCTGCCACCACTCACCAAGTCACTTTCTTCTGAGCCACAGAAGCTACTGACTTCTAGTTCCCTCAAGGAACTGAGCCTTTGGATTGATGGTGACCAAAATATTGTCCCCCACCCCAGCCAGCTAAACACTTCAACATCCCCATGAACATGTCCAGCTTGGCCGTCCTTTGGCCTTCAACCTCACAGCAGCCCCAGTCCCACGCCAGAACTGGCATCTCAAAGTCACTACACTGGCTGAACCCATGTCTGTGGATCCACATAGATTCTCTCTGAGACCCCCACCCACCGGTCTCTGCACTGGAGGACAGGGAGCAGCAGTCGGCAGACCTTCCCTCACAGCCAGGCTGCCACCCAAGCCCAAGGTGAAACCAATCTTTGCCACAAAGGTGAGCATTTTTCAAATCCCTCTGTAATTATTCAAGCTGACAGTCCAAATCTACCTAAAGGCTGTGAATACATATATGCTCCTACCTGCATAGACTCTTGATATGGAACCTCATAAGATGTGGCCTCTGGGAAGGGGGTTTGAGGCCCAGGGGTAAAGACAGACTTCTTCCCCCCTGGAGACTCTCTTATGTTTTTTACTGTGTGCACATATTTCTTCACTCACCTCTTCTCTTTCCTCTCTCTCTCCCTGTGTATATATAATCCCTCCCGCTCTCTCTATATATATAATCCTACACTGAGGAGTGCACATAAAAGAGGGACTTACCACTGATTTTTTCTCTTTTTCATTTTCTCTATGTTTATCTACAAAAAAAAGGAAATCAATTTTTAAAGTCAGTTTTAAACAATTCACTCTTCTTTGACCTAATTTCAAAACCACCACAAAAACAATAATGTTTACTCTTACTCCCTGGCCTAAAAATTTTTTCCAGTGACATCTAAGTCCTTCCATGGATGGATGGAGACAGACCCACCACTGCTGTCTACCTACATGTGACACTGCAGCTACTACCTAGGTCCTGTTGGCACCTGTGGGCCTCAACTGTGCTCAGCTTTTTTCACTTAGTACATCATACTTTCCACCTTCCACACATTTCATATTTGTGATCCTCACAGATGGGTCCAGCAAGTTCAAACACAGAGTAGCCTCCAGAGTGGGCAGCAGGCATGGGTTTCAGCCCAGGGCTGACACCTTGGCCCACCCACCACACAGGTGACACCCAACAACCCAAGGCTAAAGCAAGCTAGGATCTGGTATCATGGTGGCTCCCATTTCTGAAAGGGGAAGACTCTAGTCCCAGTAGGAGCAGGAAGCTCAGAGCCTAAACCACCCACTACGCACTGGGAACTTGTTAACTGCACCTGCCAGCCTCTGTCTTCCCCAAGGCCAAGAGAATCAGGACTAGGAGTGGGACGGGGACTGGAGCAGCCTGCAGTCGCGGGGGTAGCGGATCTTTCTGCTCTCTAGAGGGCTCCCCAACTCCGAACCAGAGAGGGGTCTGAGCACCACGGCCCCACCCACTGGCAGCCGGCTGGAGCCGGGGATAGCTGCCAATGGTTGCCCTCGCCCCTCCACGCCCCCGCAGCCTCCACTTGGAGTAGTTTCGGGTTCAGGCCGGAGGGTGGGGAGTGAGATGGGCAGCCGCTGAGACCCCTGATGCGGGTCGC